GGGGGAGGGCAAACTGCCAGAATACGGCGAACAAACGAGGTTGTTTGACGAAAAGTTTTTTTCTTATTTGTATCGGGGTAAATGTAATAACGCAAGGTGTTATGTTTAGCAATGATTTCTACAAAATATACTAAATCTATTTCCCAAGTATGTTAGAAATTATAGATTTTTATTGGCCAAGAGATAGTAACATAAAGAAGGATACCAACACATACGAATTTTAACTAACAAACTAAATTGAGTTACATTATCACATGAACACAGCTCAAAAGCTATACATAATATAGGTTTTTAAAAGAGTGTTTTAAAGAAAATTGCCCTACATAATACTGGTTTACTAAAGTATTTTTTTAAATAAGATTTACAATCAAATAACAAAACTGCATCCCAAAATACTAGCTCCCAACATTGTGTAAACAGCGGCCAAACGTGTGTTATTTCAACTTGTAAGTTTTCACAGGCTTGTTTGTGTTTTACTATTCTATTTTCAAAGTAACCCTTTTCTGTTTACTCGTCGAGACATAACAATGGGATATAAAGTATTTGCACTTAAGCTCGTTTAAAAAGGTCCTAAAAGCGGTCCCCAGGATTTGGTGGTACAAGAGTACAGCCCTCGAATAAGAAGTTAATGCGGTCCACTTCATCGCATCCTTTTTAAGACCACATTCGCAATAAAAACATTGTGAAAATATACAACATGTTTACAATTGGAATAGAATATAAATTCTTCAGTTTATAAAATCCTAACTTCTAAATTTTCATACTAGGTTTTTTTTACTGCGAGAAATCGCAAAAAATAATTCGTAACATTAACAATCGACAAAAGTTGTATAATTTTTTTTCTTTAAATAAATTTATTTTATTTCTTTAAATAAAAGTATTAAAATACTATTATAACTTTATACAAAATTATCGTGCTAGGATTCCTGATCTTGATTTATAAATACGTCAAGCGTCAACCAAGAATATTACGAGTTTTGAGAAAAGTATAACATAAAGTATAACATTTTAACTACACTTTTCTATAAGATAATTCGTAGTAGAGCTAAATAGGCACAAAGAGTCGAATTTCACTGACACGAATCATCAATAACTTCCAAATTAATACATCAATGCATACGTTGGTATTGAATGTAAGTATGTATTGACTCGTACTTGATCGTTGTACCTCAAACCCTAAGTGTATTGTCAGTGCAGAGAAACAATACGATTTGTCGGCATTGTTCCAACGCAGGCATTGTGCGCCAGTCAAGGGAGTAAGCATGTTTAACGTATGATGGATTTCAGAGACGAATTTCACGTTGATTAAAATGAAACAATAAAATCGGTAGATTTTAGAGCACAAAAATGGAATAGAAAACTGCACTACTAATTAACAATGCGACGTCAATAATGAGGTAGTACGGTTCTCTAAAAAGCTTGCAGAAACTAACAAGGCTAATAGCGTTTTTCTAGTCTAATAGGTTACGGGTAAAGTAGATAAGTTAATTTGATATATCATATTTAACTCTAGTCTTGTGCTATTTTATAGTTGTCCTCCACGACTTAGCCCACGTAAATTAAAAAAAAGTAAGTAGTCTATGTGTTGTTCCAGACTATCCTCTACATCTTTCCCAAATTTCATCGTTTTATTCTACAAACTCTAACAAACACCATCCATCTGAACTTACGCATTTACAATATTAGTAAAAGTAAGAAGTAAGATAACAAGAAATTAGACATTTAGCAATACTTTTCGCGGATCTTTTTGCCCCGCACACGCGTTGTGGAACGGTCTGTCCTCGGCGGTATTTCCAAACCAATACTACTTAGGATCCTCCAAGAAGCGAGCCTATCATTTCCTCAAAGGCCGGCAACGCATCTGTAGTTCCTCTGGTGTTGCGGATGTCCATGGGCGTCATTGACCACCTTGGTGTTCAAGCCGCTCGTTTGCCCCCTTTTATTAAAAAAAATACTGTGTTTTTTTGTGTATCTAAAAGCGTATATAGATTTGCAGATGTATATTATATAGACATCAAGGAATCAAGGAAAGCTTTAACGCAATTTTCTAAGCTCTCGCCTCGACCCTTCAAAGTTGCGCAATTTGCGGCGGCCGCAATCTAAACGGTCACAACTTTATTTACTTTTCCAGTCACGAGGCCGAAGTGCACAGTGGTCGCACATAAAATTAAATTAGCGCACGTATAAACCAAAGGCAATCCGCTTTTAAGGCCCGATTTAATATGCCAGCTGAGTACTATGTTCGGAAGCGTTATTTATTTTACGATTTTCAGTACATCAAGTACATAAAAAGTTTTATTTCCGTATTAAACATTTATGTTTACGGAAGGAAATATCCTATCATGTAAACATATCGTGAGAAAGAAATTAACTTTTACATTTCTTACTTCCTTTACTAGTATTACATTGAAAAATGTTTCAAATTTATAATAGTCAAAAAATTAATAAACGCTTCCTTACGATAGACTTTGAAGTTTCGACCTTTAATCAGAACATGCAACTTTCTCATAGTAACATATTATAAATATTCTCTACTACAGCTCTTATGGCTACAGTCTATTACTACGATGCTAGGTCTGTCCCCAATTCACTCGGTTTATAAACATCTATACTAATATTATAAAGGGGAAAGATTTGTATTTTTGTATATATTGAAATAACTTAAAAAATAATTTTCCGATTTAAAAAATTCTTTCACCAGTAAAAAGTTACATTATTAATACGTGACATAGCCAATGTTTTTTTTTAATTTCACGCGAGCGAAGTCGCAAGCAACAGCTAGTATTTTAATTAAGTAAAAGCTAGTAATTTTAATGACTTACTTATGACATAGTTGTCTAAATTTTTAAAATAGTTCCGGTAGTTTTTAAGTTCATCTGTTACATACTGTAAATTATAAAGATTACATTGCTATAAGTTCCCTCTTAGTTGGATTGCGTCTCATATTCCTTAACTTAACATCTTTAACTTCAAATATACTTAACGCAAAGATCTCATTTGTGAATATCTCTAAGTAAATAAGAAATCTGTGATCGTGTAGACGTCTTAGAGAGTTTCTTTGACATAAAAACATCCTGAAGTTAACAAGACAGTTAACTCTTTATCAAATGATTTATTACTGTTTAAATGAAAATGTCAAGATGTTTGAAATGGGTTCATCTCATCTTACATCTGTAATAGCTTTTTTAATTAGTTTTTCTTCTCATGATTTTGAAGAGCATTAAAACAATCTTTGAAGAATGATTACAGAGATTACTTATCATTTAACTTTTTTTGTCACTTATATTCTAATTTTAAATATCAGTAAACAAAAGGCGATCGTATTATTCCTTAATATTTGTACATAAAAGTTTTAGAAGTACTCGTAGCATCTCGTAGCAATTCGTAGCAACTAGTAGCAACTTTGAAGTCGTAAAATCTAACTAAATTGAATTACTTTATTACCTTAATATAAGATATATTGTGTAAATAACAAAACAAATAGTTAAACATTACAATTTATTTTCATATTCCACTATTTACATCTTAAATGTTTTATATCACAAAGAAATAAATAATTTTAACTTACAAATAATTGATGATTACTTTACCTTTATAAAATAAATAAGACTACGAAACAAAGCATCTTATGTAAACAAGTATACATTTACCAAGTTTAAACTGCTGTATAAGTCTTACTGTACACAATAAAAAGTGAAAAAAAAATAAACTAAGTTACAATGAGCATTATATCTTATAAAAGAAATGGACTATACTAAAAAATAAGCATTTTTCCAGATAGAATTATTGGTCCTAAAATTTTTCAAACACGAATATTTTTAAACATAAAATCCACATATCTACAATAACCATAAAATAACAAAAAAACTACACAGCTGTAACGCAAATTAAAAAATATATACAGTTACAAAAAGCTATTGATTTGACGAATCATATGTAAATATTTATTGAAATTAAAATAAATTACAATTTGTCTAAGATGAAATGATTATAAGTATAGCGTATAATATGACCGCAGCGGATGTGTGCGGCGCTCGCGACGCTAGCGCGGAAGCGGGGTTGCGCACGCATGCGCGGAAGTCGTGGTAGTCTGCGCGAGTGATTGCGCAGTAGTGGACGTGTACGCACGTTCCGTCGCACTCGGATATCTCAGGAGTATGACGCACGCGAAGAGCTGAGAGGTACCTGGATAGAATAAATTTAATAAACAAAGTTGGAAAATAAAATATTAAGGATAATTTGGTCTGAATTTTGAATGTTTAACGTCATATCTGTCACATTTCTGGTTGGTGTTTTTGTATTTTTTTACATTAAATTGGTGAATGTTATGCTACTGTTATAATACAAGTGATGAACGAAAAATATGAAAGTGTCTTAATAATTTTATGCATTAATTTTAACTCTTAATAAAACGAATGTTTGAAATAAAAATTATTATATCATCTTACTTCGTAAAAAGTGTACGGTCGTTGTGATTTCGAATTCTTTCTGCGAGCGTTTCTAAAGAAGTTGCACTAATCTCCCTCAGTCCGTAATACTGCGTCAAATTATACTCTATCGCCCAGTGCAGCTCTCCTCTCGTGTTCGTTATATCTAAATAATACTGAGTGTAATCTAATACCTGAAAATATTATCATTTATTAGACATATAAACATAAAGTCAGGATTAAATCAATAAACTTCAATTTTCAATTCATCATGACATTGTTTTGATACAAATATTTTACATTTTAAACTGCCCAAGGCCTAGTGAAAAGTTAACCTTTTTAGTGCAATTTCTATTTGTTGAATAATATGTAAATCATTATACTCTAAGTGAATTCATACTAGTTACTCATTTCGTACCACAATATCGATCTGTTTGTTGGCTATTGACTTTCCAGTTATTATCCTAGTTGAGTTGACTTTACCATCATTAAGATAAACAAGAGATACACTGGTGTTCTAATACTGCTTTCATTAGCAACTAAATCCATCCGCCGTTCATCGGGAAATTCTACCGATACTTCGTAAGTAATCCTAAGTCCTGTCTATGAATTTATACTAATTGGTGTTGATCTTTAGACACGATATTACGTGCCATTGAAACATCAACGTTTTTACTAATAAGTAACGTTTTTTAATTCGTTTAGAAACAAAAAGTTAAGAATTACCTTTCCTGTGTTAGAATCAAATTTGTAAAGCCTTAACCCTGGATTTGATATGCTTCCTGAACCACGCGGCGTTAATGAAGGAGCAAGTAGTGCCCATGATACTGGTCGTCCTAAAATAAAATAACTTTTTTTAATACGAACAATTTTTAACATGACATTTTGACATCGCGTTCTAAACAAACTGCAACGCCATCTAGTTCATTCTACCAAAATTAAAATCTTTTTAACTACCTTCACTATAAATAAGTCGGAACGTGTCAGCATGTCGGTGGCCGTAAAATTGTCCAGCGATGACGTCACTGAATGCTCTAATAACATGCAGTAATCGTGCATTAGCAGTCGGAGTAAGTTCTCCTCCGCCCGCAGCTGAAGCACTACCAGCATTATGCCGCTCTTCTACCCCTGGACCAGCATGCGCTACTAGATATACCTATTAGAGAAAACTTGAATTAGTGTATTACAACAAATTAGAAGTGTTTGTTAATATCATTACTGAATCTAATAACTAGTGAAAAATGTTTGCATAGTGTATATTCTCAGATTATATGTATTACGATCTTGCCCAGGTAGATAGTTCCATTATGATTATCTTAGAGTCTAAAATTTTGTGTAGTTACCATTTCATTTTTCCGCCTGGCTTTACTGAGGACATGTTCGAGCCATTCCCATTGCGCTCGACCACGGTGCGGGCCATCCGTGCGCGCCGCCCCGCCCGCCCACAGCACGCTGTTCAGCACTATGATACGCAATTTGCTGTGCGACTGCTCTATTGTATAGTAACCGCCTAAGACAAAAATAATAACATATATTCGTCACTTATTGATGAAGATGCAAGAGACGATACCAAATGTTTTTGGTCCTTCAAGCAGAAAATTGTGCTTTCTAGTAAACTGTTTAATTTATCTATCGTAAACTACATTTTATAATATCGCTAGTAATATTATTAGTTTAAAGTCGTTGCCATATATAGCAGAGATTTTCAAACCGGTTCATTAAACTAGTTTACGCTACAACGCTTTAAATGGCTGTGATCTAATAATCTAAATAGCTCTGGACTAGCAACGGTGTATTCATTCTATAGAATAGACACGTCGTAATCATGGAAACAGACAAGCTTTTCCGATTCTTCATTGTCTGTTCTAGGCGACGAAGCGAATCGCTTTGTTTATACGCACGAGACATGGCAACAAAACGGAAGTCTAACGTGCGTACACAATGCCATCTAGTTGTGTGAAATATTAGTATTTTTTTCTTACCAGTTTCAAAGGTCTGTAACGCTTCCGTGGGCAACCATTGCATCCACATATCTACCAACTTCCTTGAAGGCGGTGGGTCATTATGTCCTAAAGCTGGGAACACGAACTGGCTGCTAAATGTTCTGCTCAGAATATCGGTCACATTTCTAACTGCTTCCAGTTTGATTTCCTCACTTAAGTGTTCCATTGAAGATGACAGGATATCCCTATGATACAAATTGAATGTTTAAGTAATCTAAAAGATGGCGTTGTACAAAATAATTCCTAAATGTACTGAATATTGATAAAAGGGTATAACTAATTTATGAAAAACTATAAGTGTGGAAGGGTACACCGATAGAGGTAGATCTAGGAAGAGATGGATGGATTGCGTGAAAGGCGACATGATCAAAAAATGGGAGTGATAACTGAGATAACGTATGATAGAGTTATGTGGAACACAAAAACCTGTTGCGCCGACCCTACAGGAGTAGGTTAAGGAGGAGGAGGATGATGAACTAATTTTCCAATCTTCCATCGCAAAAATGTATAAGTTTTTATAACATTATTACTCGCTTAATATAAATAAAATATACTTAATTGTACTAACCCTGTCCATAACACGAACTCCAATGTATCGGGATGTCTTTCAGCCATAAGAGCGGCGGCGCTCTGTATCAGCGGCCAAGAGCTGTCACACGTGTGATCGCGGTGTCGCCCATTGCGGTGATTATGCTCCACATTTGCACGGTTGTGTCGGCATCCTATAGGTTAAATCAGTTTAAAATAAAAACTATTTTGTACTTAAGTAAGTACAAAATAGTTTAAATTAAGTAATTTTCAGTTTATTATATGAAATTAACTTTTCGTCACCATGATATAATTATGTTATTTAACTGCTAAGCTTTTTTATTAAAAAAATTAATTTATTTAAATATTTAATTACTTCAGAATTCTTTAATGTTTGTTTATTCTCAATTTCAAACCGCAGGCATTACATATTCGTAAACAATTATAATAAAGTAAAAATAAAGTAAAATAAAATATTTTAATGGAAAAGTTTTTTATTTACCTTTATGAAACTCCGGAGAGTTGTGAAATGGGTCATAATGAAGATCTGTGATATGCCAAAAGTATCCTGGGAAATAAATTAAAATTAAGTGTAACAGTTTTTGTGTCGTGAATTCATTTTTATATGAACTTTTATATAACTGCATAAAAAGAGTTTCATTTATAAAACTGCTAATGAGGACATTATAAAGTTTTTAATGAATAATTCCAGTAGGACTGCAGTTCTTTAGATTTATATTAATTCTCTGTGAAATGAAGTTTTTCTTTAGAAGAAATCTTTTAATTTAACTCCATCGATACAAAAAGACATCTGGACATTTTAATATTTCATTTTTCAATGAATACGAAACTATACACTTCCATTTTAATCAAGAATAAAAATGTCAAACAGTGGTAGAGCCCGCTTTAACATCTTCGCACGAATGGGCCGGCTCGCCCGGTGTAATACCACGAC